TGCACTTTGGCAGAGACCGACATGCTCAAAGACTGGCCCACCATCTCTTCTACATGTGAATGCAGGGCTGGCACTGCCTTTTTGGCGAAGAAATGACGGCTTGGCACTCTCCACCACGGCGCGGCACAAGCCATCATTTCTCGGAAAGGTGCTGAGTCCACCACTTGGAAAGGGAGGGACTGCAGCACACAGCAACTTGGACAGGAGGACGTTCAGCTTTTGCACCGTCGGGTGCGTGCTCGCAAACTGTTGTCTCTTGGAAACGGATTCCAAAAAAGACTGCTGACGGAATTCGAGAAGAGGAGTAGCAGGAGAAGGAGCATCTGAACGAGCGGAAGATGCCAACGAGCGACAACTCCCCTCAGCAGAGGTGTTGGAGCCTTGACTGGCTGATAGAGGGCGATTGACGACGTCGGGTGACGGAGCAAGTAACGGAGCGGGTGATGGAGCGGGGGCTGGGGCAGGCAGAACCGCCGTATCTTTATCACGGTTTTCCCAGGCCACCAAATGGCGACGCTGCATATGCTGACGCAATGCTGTAGTCCCAACATGGGCCCCCTGGCCACGCTTGACTTTCTGGCCACATAGTCGACATACGGCTACGTTTACTTCCTCGGGCGGCTTGACGAAAAATTGCCACACATCCGAGTAGGAAACTTTTCCCCCGCTACTCCTCACTGGCTGACTGCTACTTCCTCCGTGCGCACCGGCACCACTACTGGCCGTGGTGGTAGGCTGCAGTGGAGCTGGTGCTCTACTCCGTGGACGTTTGGCTCCACTGACACTGATGCGACCCTGCTGCCTCCTGGGCAACCCACCGACTGTTTCGCTCACTGCCAAGCTGGCACCCTCTTCTCCTGATGATGCGGAAGAAATTACCTGATGACGACGAGGCTGCCAAGTGCGATCAACCTCCTCATCATCAAGTAGGGTCTCCGCCTCACTACTAGCCCCCTCGGCTGCGTCTGGGTCAGGAGACAGACCTGTCTCTAGACCGGCTACCAAGCCACTCTCCTCGCCAGTACTTGTTCGCCTGGCTGCTGAAAAGGCGGATGTCTCCCCCCCCCGTTCCTGACCGCCCTCTGTTAGCTCTTCCTCACTGTACAGTGGGGCTGAGCCCACAGCATGCGATACTTCGCTTGGTGAGGGAACAGCAAAGGACAGGGGCAGGTAGAGGACACGTGATTTCAGTGGGCTTGCTCCCGGGCCATGCCAACTAACGGTTGTGTCTGACGTACCCACCGACCGTTGGCTGTAGGTGTCAGAGGTGACCTGGGAAGAGGAAGACGACCGAGCCAACCAATCGATGACGGCAGGGTTGTCGGTGGAGACATGACCGCTGGATGACACCGGGAGCACTGGCCTCTGGCTGCGAATAGTGCTGCCTCGACCCCTTCCTCTGCTGCCACGTCTGCTCGCTCCTAAAACATTGCCTCCTCTGCCACTCCTCTGCATGTTGTCTGACATACTCTTTAATTCAACGATTCTGTGTCCCTGAGTAACAATTCTGTGTCCCTGAGTAACAATTCTGTGTCTGTCCCTGAGTAACAATTCTGTGGCCCTAAGTAACGGTTCTGTGGCCCTCAGTAACAATTCTGTGTCCCTGATTAACGTTTATGTGGCCCTAAGTAACGGTTCTGTGGCCCTCAGTAACAATTCTGTGTCCCTGATTAACGTTTCTGTGGCCCTAAGTAACGGTTCTGTGGCCCTCAGTAACAATTCTGTGTCCCTCAGTAACAATTCTGTGTCTGTCCCTGAGTAACAATTCTGTGGCCCTAAGTAACGGTTCTGTGGCCCTCAGTAACAATTCTGTGTCCCTGATTAACGTTTATGTGGATCAGTGACTTATGTTGGCGATCAGTGACTTATAAAAAATAAAATAAAAAGAAAATAAGTAGTCAATGTGCTTAATAGGTACTCCAAAGTCAATATAAAGTCCCAAAAACGGAATGATGTGTATACTGTGGTAAAGATGCAGTTGAAGTTGGGTAGATGTGATCCCCGGATCAATGAAGATCCCCAGGTCTAAGAAGCATACGTTCCCGAGATAAATAAGGAAGCAGTCACAGCTACACCCGAGAGAACCACCACTCCTTCACTTTGCATCCTCGGTATCTAAGAGGAGAAACTCCTCACAAAGAGAAATGCCCATAGTAAGGTATATTATAAAACATTTATTTAGAGTAAAAGACAGGATGCATCCAGATTGGATAAAACGTATCAGTAACACCGCCAACAAATATTAGTATCAGCAGCCAAAGCAAACAGGACTAACCGTCCTGTCAGATGTAGTGGCCGCCGGAGCTCCCCAGTGCTCCGACGGCGTGGCGTCAAGGCGTGCGTAGGTTCCTCCTTACGCGTTGCGTGCCAAGCACATCTTCAGAGGAAAGAACCGGTATACGCCGTGACGTGCAAGTCAGCGCTAAATAGACCAAAAAGCGCATGCGCCGTAGTTAGGCGCCATTTTATCGTAGCTCACATACCAATCTGTGTGTCAGTCCGAGATAACTGGAGAGTCAACAGGTACAAAAAAAAAAAAAAAAAAAAAAAAAAAAAAAAACATAAATACAGAAACATGAGTAATGTAAATTGATATAGAGAAATCACATCTTATCAATGGCAAAGGTTGAAAAAACGGAAAAAAGGGGAGGGGGAATGCATAACTAAATGCAACCAAAACGGCATATATTACAGCAATAAAACGGAAATCAATATATAAAGTAATATCTTGTCACTAATAAATGACAGAATCAGTGTGAGGTTGGCGATGCAACCAAGGGCAATGTCATGAAAAAACGTGCCAGATCAAAGGACACATTGATATCATAATCATGAGTCAGAACAATCAAAGTTCTGTAGTGACAGGGATCTGATTGGTAAGAAAAGATCCATAAAATAAAAAAATAAAAATTAAAAGTAAAGAAAGGATCCCTCTAAAAGGTAAAAAACGGAGGGGGGGGGGGGGGGGGGGGGAGTCATCCATGAAGGATTTGAATTACAGAAAAAGAAAAAGAGAAAATAATCATGACATAGGCCCTTGACTGTATATAACATAACCATGATATCCATAGTATAAAGATATTCATATAAAACAAAAAAATATAAAAATATAAAAAGGTACATTATATATCATAAAAAGAAAAACATAACAAAAAGAAAAATCAGCTATTGTCAATAAAACAATTTACGTCAAGTTCGACGTTAAGGCCACGTGGGTATAAAGTATCTAGCTGGCAGATGTACTTAGTCTCTAACTGGGAGACAGCTCGGGTTTTGTGAGTACCCCTCCAGTGTGGAACAACAGTATCAATTCCGATAAATTTTAAAGAAGAGGGATCTCTACCATGGTGACGTCTAAAGTGTAATGAGAGAGAATGATCTTTAAACCCCTTTCTAATATTGTTGATGTGCTCTCTAAGCCTATCACGTAGCCTTCTTGTGGTGCGGCCTATGTATGCTTTGAGCAGGGGCATTCAAGCAAGTAAACCACATATTTACTATTGCAGCATATGAATTTGTCAATTTCATATGTATTGTTGTTGGAACTGGACCGAAAAGTGGTGATTTTCATTTTCCTAATGCCATCTACTTTACAAGCTATGCATTTATTGCACGGATAAAAACCTTTATAATTGAACAGAGCCAAAGGTTTAGTAGGAGGATTAATCACATTAGGAGATATAATATCTCTCAAAGTAGATGGCTTACGGAAAATAACCTCTGGTGAGTAAGGTAAGATTTTACTGAGGATGGGGTCTGCTCTCAAAATTTGCCAATTCTTCTTAATAATATGACGGATAGATCTATGCTGGGTGGAGAAGGTAGTAATGAAGGGACATATTAAATTCTTGGACGATTTGGGATTAGATGTAAGCAGTTGTTCCCTTCCCATATCTGCAACCAGGTTAATGGTGCCATCAAGCATGGATATGTTATAACCTTTTTCAATAAATCTATCCTTCAAAATCAGAGCTTGTGCATGGTAATCCTTAAGATCGGTACAGTTCCTCCTGATCCTCTGAAACTGGCTTTTAGGAATGTTAGAGAGCCAGTTTGGGTGGTGGCAGCTATCCAGAGGAATGTAACTGTTCCGGTCTGAAGGTTTGAAGTAGGATTTAGTGATAATCCTACCTCCAACATTCATGAGAACTAAATCCAGAAAATTAATCTCCATCATACTGTAGTTGAACGTCAGATTGATATTACTGGTGTTATAATTAAGTGTTCCGAAGAAATTGATGAGCGATTGCTCACTACCATTCCATAATAACAGGATGTCATCAATGTACCTCTTGTAGAAGGATAGTTCAGGCCCCTCCCTAGCGTAAATGACCTCTTCCTCCCAGTATGACATAAAGAGGTTGGCGAGGCTGGGGGCAAACTTAGCCCCCATCGCCACGCCTTTAATCTGCAGATAGAAATTGCCATCGAACCACATGTAGTTCTTTTTCATAGCAAAGTCCAACAGTTCAAGGATAAAACCCGTGTGTGGTATAGTTAGAGAGCTATGATTTCTCAAATAGTACTCAACTGCCTGTAGCCCTTCATGGTGGCTAATACTGCTATACAGAGCTTCCACATCTGCAGTAACCAAGTAAGTTGTGGTGTTGGTAGCCACGTCCTGTATAGCATAAAGTACTTGCTTGGTATCCTTTAAATAGGATGGTGTAAGAGCAACTATTGGTTGGAGAAAATGATCTATATAAGCTCCAATCTTAGAACACAGGGAATTGATCCCACTTACAATAGGCCTTCCTGGTGGGTGCACAGCATCCTTATGCACCTTAGGCAAGATGTATAAAATTGGTAGTTTGGGTACTTTAGGACACAAAAACACCTTTTCTTTCTGGTTGATTAACTTGTTGTCAAACCCTGAACTAATAATACTCTTAAGAGATTTCTTGTAATTGGAGATAGGGTTAGCATTCAGAGGTAGATAGGTAGTGGTGTCATTCAAAATTTTTATTTTTTTCTAGCGCTGCACTTTTTACTTAGTTCTATGTGAGGATTTTTTGGTTGTCCTGTGTGTTCTAGCTGCTCGTTTTTTAGAAAGCGCTCACTTTCATTCATTGTTTCATAGATCAGTGACTTATGGCTGTGATCAGTGACTTATGGAGGCGATCAGGGACTTATGGAGGCGATCAGCGACTTATGGCGGCGATCAGCGACTTATGGCGGGGATCAGCGACTTATGGCAAGGATCAGCGACTTATGGCGGGGATCAGCGACTTATGGCGAGGATCAGTGACTTATGGCGGGGATCAGTGACTTATGGCTGTGATCAGTGACTTATGGAGGCGATCAGGGACATATGGAGGCGATCAGGGACTTATGGAGGCGATCAGCGACTTATAGCGGCAATCAGTGACTTATGGCGGCGATCAGTGACTTATGGCAGGGATCAGCAACTTATGCGAGGATCAGTGACTTATGGTGGTGATCAGTGACTTATGGTGGCGATCAGTGACTTATGGAGGCGATCAGTGACTTATGGCGGCGATCAGCGACTTATGGCGGCGATCAGTGACTTATGGCGGGGATCAGTGACTTATGGCGGCGATCAGTGACTTATGGCGGCGATCAGTGACTTATGGCGGATATCAGTGACTTATGGCGGATCAGTGACTTATGGCGGCGATCAGTGACTTATGGCGGCGATCAGTGACTTATGGCGGAGATCAGTGACTTTTGGAGGCGATCAGTGACTTATGGCGGCGATCAGTGACTTATGGCGGGGATAAGTGACTTATGGAGGCGGGATCAGCGACTTATGGCGGCGATCAGCGACTTATGGCGGCGATCAGCGACTTATGGCGGCGATCAGCGACTTATGGAGGCGATCAGTGACTTATGGCGGCGATCAGCGACTTATGGCGGCGATCAGTGACTTATGGTGGGGATCACTGACTTATGGCGGGGATCAGTGACTTATGGCTGCGATCAGTGACTTATGGCGGCGATCAGTGACTTATGGCGGGGATCAGCGACTTATGGCGGGGATCAGTGACTTATGGAGGGGATCAGCGACTTATGGCGGCGATCAGTGACTTATGGAGGTGATCAGCAACTTATGGCAGCGATCAGTGACTTATGGCGGGGATCAGTGACTTATGCCGGCGATCAGTGACTTATGGCGGCGATCAGCGACTTATGGCGGCGATCAGTGACTTATGGTGGCGATCAGTGACTTATGGCGGCGATCAGTGACTTATGGCGGCGATCAGTGACTTATGGAGGGGATCAGCGACTTATGGCAGGACTGCAGGACTGCGGCGGACATTCTGACATTGGGGGGTACTGACTTGGGGTCACTGACATCCTCAGTGACACCAATACAGTGATCAGTGCAAAAAAAAAAAAAAACACTGAAACTGTACTAATGGCACCGGGGAGGAAGGGGTTAACTTTTTTATTCACTGAAAGGGTTAACTGTGTGAGGGGGAGTGTTTTACTAGGGGGCAGGGCGGGGGGGTGTACTGCACCGGGGGGGGTGATTTGTGTGTGGGGAGGTAGGTGATCTATGTGTGGGGGGAGGTAGGTGATCTGTGTGTGGGGAGGTAAGTGATCTGTGTGTGGGGGGAAGGTAGGTGATCTGTGTGGGGGGGAGGTAGGTGATCTGTGTTTGTGGGGGGGAGGTAGGTGATCTGTGTGTGGGGAGGCAGGTGATCTGTGTGTGGGGGGGTAGGTGATCTGTGTGGGGGGGAGGTAGGTGATCTGTGTGTGTGGGGGGAGTAGGTGATATATGGCAGGTAGGTGATCTGTGTGTGTGGGGGGAGGTAGGTGATCTGTGTGGGGGGGAGAGGTAGGTGATCTATGTGCGTGTGGGGGGAGGTAGGTGATCTGTGAGTGGGGGGGGAGAAGGTGATATATGGAAGGTAGGTGATCTGTGTGTGTGGGGGGGGAGGTAGGTGATATGTGTGTGTGGGGGGGAGGTAGGTGATATGTGTGTGAGGGGGGAGGTAGGTGATCTCTGTGTGGGGGGGAGGTAGGTGATCTTTGTGTGAGGGGAGGAGGTAGGTGATCTGTGTGTGAGGGGAGGAGGTAGGTGATCTGTGTGTGAGGGGAGGAGGTAGGTGATCTGTGTGTGGGGAGGGGGTAATACAATGTATGGGGGGTAACATGATGGATTATAATGTTTTTATCTCCTGTATGAAAAGTTCTCCATCAGCTGATTGTTTTCAGTCTTCCCTGTACTGCTCCTCCCCATAGTGACCCCACATTGCCCCCCCATGGTTCCTTTCCTCCCCCCCCCCAGTGTCCCCCCTGTACCCCCCTCCATGGCCCCCCATCTTCCCTGATCTCTCCAGAAGTATGTCCTTGTCTGTGTCAGACTACAGAGGAGGAGGGGGAGAGATGTCCTCCATTTTCTTGTAGCTCAGAGAGGGGGAGGGGTGTCCTCCATTTTCTTGTAGCTAAGAGAGGGGGGGAGGAGTGTCCTTAATTTTCTTGTAGCTAAGAGAGGGGGAGGGGTGTTCTCCATTTTCTTGTAGCTCAAGAGGGGGAGAGAAGTCCTTCTGACCTCTCATTGTGTAGATGAAATGTATCCATTGATATCTTCCTCCTTTATATACAATGTATCCATTGGGGAGGGCGGTCTTATGTCATCAGCCCCGCCCAATGTATCTGCCCACTTCATCTCCTAACAGCTTTAACCCTCTCACTGCTGGAACTCTCCTATTCCTGATTTCTTCCCAGGACCGTGTACTCCCCCCACACATGACCTATTATAGGACAATGAAGCCATGGCAGTGAGATTCCTGGGGTCTCTCGGGATTTGTAGAACTGGCTCTCTCCCCGATATCTCCAGTAAGACATGAAATGGATTGTAGTGCACACGGACACAACACGATTCCCATTCCTCCGACACAATGTAACCAACCAGACTGAGTCCAGTAACTAGACACTAAATATGTCCAGAATTGTGAGCGACCACCAAACCACGTCAGACTGCCATCTTCATAACTGTCCATAGGAGGCGCTATATCCTTTACAGCCCTTTAATTTATAGGTTACCAAGAATAAGGACCACGCCTGGGAACTTGTCCAACTGTCCACCCGGAGCCTATGCTTTATAGACCGGATAATAGAAGACACACTATATTGCTGAAAATATTGGCCCCGCCCTTTCCACACACATGACTTTTAATGGACTCCCAGTCTTAGTCCGTAGGGTTCAATATTGAGTTGGTCCCGCCCTTTCCACGCACATGACTTTTAATGGCCTCCCAGTCTTAGTCCGTAGGGTTCAATATTGAGTTGGCCCCGCCCTTTCCACACACATGACCTTTAATGGCCTCCCAGTCTTAGTCCATAGGGTTCAATATTGAGTTGGCCCCGCCCTTTCCACGCACATGACTTTTAATGGCCTCCCAGTCTTAGTCCGTAGGGTTCAATATTGAGTTGGCCCCCGCCTTTTCCACACACATGACCTTTAATGGCCTCCCAGTCTTAGTCCGTGGGGTTCAATATTAAGTTGGCCCCGCCCTTTACACACACATGACCTTTAATGGCCCCCCAGTCTTAGTCCGTAGGGTTCAATATTGACTTGGCACTGCCCTTTCCACATACATGACCTGTAATGGCCCCCCAGTCTTAGTCCGTAGGGTTCAATATTGAGTTGGCCCCACCCTTCCCACACACATGACCTTTAATGGCCCCCCAGTCTTAGCCCGTAGGGATCAATATTAAGTTGGCCCCGCCCTTTACACACACATGACCTTTAATGGCCCCCCAGTCTTAGTCCATAGGGTTCCATATTGACTTGGCCCCGCCCTTTCCCCAGCACATGACCTTTAATGGCCCCCCAGTCTTAGTCCGTAAGGTTCAATATTGAGTTGGCCCCGCCCTTTCCACACACATGACCTTTAATGGCCTCCCAGTCTTAGTCCGTAGGGTTCAATATTGAGTTGGCCCCGCCCTTTGCAGCTATAACAGCTTCAACTCTTCTGGGAAGGCTGTCCACAAGGTTTAGGAGGGTGTCTATGGGAAGGTTGGACCATTCTTCCAGAAGCTCATTTGTCAGGTCAGGCACTGATGTCGGGGGAGGAGGCCTGGCTCACAGTCTCCGCTCTAATTCATCCCAAAGGTGTTCTATGGGGTTGAGGTCAGGACTCTGTGCAGGACAGTCAAGGTTCCTCCACCCCAAACTGGCTCCTCCATGTCTTTATGGACCTTGCTTTGTGCACTGGGGGGCAGTCATGTGGAACAGGAAGGGGCCATCCCCAAACTCTTCCCACAAAGTTGGAAGCATGAAATTGTCCAAAATGTCGCCTTAAGAGTTCCCTTCACTGGAACTAGGGGGCCAAGTCCAACCCCTGAAACACAACCCCACACCATAATCCCCCCTCCACCAAACTTTACACTTGGCACAATGCAGTCAGGCAAGTACCGTTCTCCTGACAACCGCCAAACCCGGACACGTCCATCGGATTGCCAGACAGAGAAGCGTGATTGGTCACTCCAGAGAACACGTCTCCCCTGCTCTAAAGTCCAGTGGCGGCGTGCTTTACACCACGGCATCCGACGCTTTGCATTGCACTTGGTGATGGAAAGCTTGGATGCAGCTGCTCGGCCATGGAAACCCATTCCATGAAGCTCTCTACGCACTGTTGTTGGGCTCATCTGAAGGCCACACCAAGTTTGGAGGTCTTTAGCTATTGACTCTGCAGACAGTTGGTGACTTCTGCGCACTGTGCGCTTCAGCATGCGCTGACCCGCCCTGTCATGTGACGTGGCCTACCACTTGGTGGCTGAGTGGCTGTTGTTCCCAGTTGCTTCCACTTTGTTATAATCCCACTAACAGTTGAGCGTGGAATATTTAGTAGCCAGGAAATGTCAAGGATGGACTTATTGCCCAGGTGGCCACCTATCACGGGACCACGCTTGGAGTCACTGAGCTCCTGAGAGCGACCCATTCTTTCACCAATGTTTGTAGAAGCCGTCTGCATGCCTAGGGGCTTGATTGTATACACCTGTGTCCATGGAGGGGATTGGAACACCTGAATCACATGATATGGAGGGGATTGGAACACCTAAATCACATGATATGGAGGGGGTTGGAACACCTGAATAACATGATATGGAGGGTGTTGGAACACCTGAATCACATCATATGGAGGGGGTTGGAACACCTGAATCACATGATATGGAGGGCGGGGACAATACTTGGGGCAATATAGTGTATATCTATATCCTGTATGAGCTACAAGAAAATGGTGTCACTGAGCACACCCCTCCCCCTCCTCCTCTCACATGGAGCTGAAGGCGGAGATGGAGAAGAAGCTGAAGTAGGAACTTCCGTAGAGATCAGGTGAGATGGGGGACTAGAGGGGTGACCCCAGGATGGGGGAGGGGAAGGTAGTCATGAGGGGGGGTAATATGGGGGGCATTATGGGGGAGGGGCAGTACAGGGAGC